AAATAGAGTTTTCCAATCTTCTTTTGTAATATTTAAAGTACATCGGTTTTGGATCCAGTTTTCCAACCCCCTTAGAATTGGTGCACATATTTTAATTGTGATATATTGTAGTTGTAAGTTAGCTTTATTGGACAGATGTTTTACTCCCTGTCAAAATCCAGGATATGACCTCTTGACGGGGCATGAAGTATCATAGTTTTCTGTTTTTCATTTTATTTATTTATTTATTTGTTTTTAATGCAGTGTATTGAGATTATGGGCTGCTGTTTTGATCTACATCGATGGTTTAGGGTTTAGATTATTGGCAGTTAGATATGCGGTATTTGGCTGAAAGGCAGCTCAATATAAATTTGTTTGGTTTTAAAGGTCTTTCCTAGCTTTGACTGGGTGGTTTTTGTGTGAGCTGTCTGAGATCTGTTGATTAGTATATCATTAACCAGAGATTGAACTACTTGATGGTTTTTGTGTGAGCTATTTGATGGTGTTGTGGATGATCTTTCTCTCCCTGTAGCTCCAGCCAAGAGGGGAGAGCTACATTACTAAGAACTACTTTTAAGCCAATTTTATTGAAGGTTCTCTTTGCTTCAACATTGCATGCTTGAACTAATAGTCCAATATTAACGTTGTCATGGTAAGTTAAGAACTCTGATTTTTTTTCAAGTAGATTAGACCATTTGGTGTAGTTTATTGGAGTTGTTTATAATTTTGTTTTGTTTTGTTTTTTGATTTTGTCTTTATTGTTGAAAATAATTTGCATCGAGTATTTCGTGCAATTTATACGTAATTATCTATTATCCTTATACCTTAGCAGAGTCTCATTTTTCAACAGAATATATATAAATTCTTTGCCGAATTTTTATTTTTTATTTTTGAAAAAGAGAAAATATAAATGGAAAATGATTTAGAAATAGAATACATATATTTTAAAAACATCTAAAATATGTATATATATATATACAAGAGAAAATTGATAAAAGTCCACTTCCATAGGTGCCTATGGCATTAGGTCTAGTGACTGATTTGTTTTGTTGATAAGAACATGATAATACAAAGTTTTGGTGAAAATGACAAATTATTGTTTTGAAAAAAATTTCATTCCACTTTCACCTTTGCGTTGTTACACCTATCACACCATCACCATCACCATCACCATCAGATGGTAGCTGAAAAAGTGGCTGGCAGTGGTGGTGATGAATTGGGAGAGGTCATCTTTGGGTTTAGACTTGTCTTCTGGAGAACCTGTTAGTTTTATAGAGTGGTTTTCCAAGTGGGTAAACATGGTGAAAGAGGATGAAATTATCATTCATTCCATTGTGGTTCTCTGGACCATTTGGAAACACATTGGATGGACATTGCCGAGGCCTTGCATCATATTCAAGAACTAGCTCATAGTGTTAATCATAGAGCACACTGTTTCCAACCTTTCAATACAACTAAAGAATGTATGGAAGCAGAGCCAAATCTGGATAATTTTGCCATCGATTATACGGCATCTAATGCAGCAATTTTCAGGTGTGGAGTTTTCTTGTTGATGGCTCTTGGAAAGACAAAGAGCATGCAGCAGGGATGGATGGCATGGGTTTGTCTCAACTCAGAACAAGTGGGCCAAGGATCAGGGCTTCACTAGAGTCCCCATCCTTATAGATTGCCAAGTTTTGATCAATCTTCTGCAATTGCTAGTAGTTTAGTGTTCTTTTGTATTTCTAAAGTTTCCCGAAATGTAATTCAACTAATCCATGAGCTGACGAAGTCTGTAACCTTATTATTTGATAAGTAATTTCATATTTCTATATCTCCCAAATTTATTTATTTTTTTTTTTTCGTTTTAAGATTCACTTAATTTAGATACATTGAAAAATTACAAAATTTGTGCAAATTTTTTTTTTTCAAAAATTCATTGAATATAAAAAAATACAAAAATAAAAATAAAATGAAAATAAAAAAAATTCAGTATATTTTTTGTATTTTATTATATTCAATATTTTTTTTTAGGATTTGATATCACAATTGTAGACTTCCATGAAATGTTAACCATCACGTCACGTTTGATTGCTGAATTATTTCTTATGAGTTTAAACCATCAGGTAATGTTCGATTTCTGAATTATTTTTTAAGAGTTTAGATACAATAAGATTATTAATAGGATTTGTGTGTTGAGATTTGATGGGATGAAGGATTGGATATATGATTAGGATTATAGATGTGATTGTGGGACTAAGTTACACCATGAGATAATAGTTTAGATAAATGATTGGATAGAAAGAGAGAGATATCATATTTGGTTACAATAGAATAAAAATGTAATTATTTTTTTGCTGTTGGATGAAGAAAAAAATATGAGAGACTTACGTATAAGTCCTACTAAGTGGATTTATTGTCCAATTGATTCTAATGATATTTTTCATAATAAACTATTAAAAAATGTCACTAATTTTTAATTTTCAGCGACAGTTTGAAAATTGTTACAAAAAAATGTTACTAATTACAAGTTTTAGCGACAGTTTAAAAAAATCATCACAAAAAAAGTCATTAATTTTCAACTTTGAGCAACAGTTTGAAAAATTGATCACAGAAAAATGTCACTAATTGTTAGAGTGATAATTTATAAATTTCGTGACAAAAAAAAAAGTCACTAATTGTTAATTTTTAGCAACGTATGTAAAAAATCATCACAAAAAATTATTTTTAGCGACAATTATATTAGGATTTATTTTCAATAGGACTTGATGAGAATTAAGTCAAACTATTAGGATCTATTGATAATTTACCCAAAAAATAATTCAAAGGCCACCACACTATCTATGGTATTATTTAATCCCTCTATTTTTTTTCTATTTAATTCTCAATACCAGTATTAAAATTATTCAAAATTTGGTACCATATAAAACAAATGCCGAATTAGACTATCTAGTGAGACCTACATGTTCCCTACCTCTAATCCCTTTCTCCTTATCGGGCAATCAAACACCCAATTAATAATACAGTGAACCCCACATTTCCTCCACTTTCAAATATGCCCTCAAAGGTTTGTTTGATTTCTTATTTTATGCTTAGGCTCTTTTTAGTCTATTAGCTTATTTCGGTATCCTTGAGCCTTATCTTTCTGGTTAATTTGCTTGTGTCCTTTTTAAGCCTACTAGTTATCTTTTATGCTTGTGCTGTGGTGTTTTGAGCAGCTCTGTGTTTCTAATATCATCTATTCTCTTGTTTATTTTCTAGTGTCATCTCTTTTCTGTTGCATGAATGTTGAAAAAAGGTTTTCTCCGTAGTTCTACATCAGGTAAAAGAAGATCATTGAAGGAGGATAGGGGTAAGGGGTCTGGTTAAGCCAGAAGTCTCTTATTTGTCACATAGCCCTTCTCAGTGTATGTCACCATATGACATGTTCTCTTATATGAATCCTCTTGAAGTGGCTTTAATTAAGGATGCCTTTTACCATGATTTCAATTTTGGTTGGGAAGCTGTTGTGGGTGCCTATCAAAGCAACGGAGAGTTGGTTGGGAATGTAAGTAGGCAAGAACAAAGGAAGACTCATGATTCATCTGTTGTGCCTCCTAATACCTCTTCAAAAATGGAAGATTTATCTGCTTTCCCCAAATTAGATGACAAAGGTAATGATGCATCCCATAGTGGTGTAGTTGGCCAGGCTCAGGAACTAGGAACAAGCCTAACTTCAAAGCATCAAGGAGGAAGAAGCAAGTGATTATGGGACGCAAATTTCTACTAATTGATTCTAGGATCTGACAGGAACTAAAAATCGGTAGAAAAATTGAGTTTTTTCATTGACCAAGCACGTCATTGGTTAAGGTTCAAGAGAAAAAGTTTAATCTAGCTGATATGCAGATTGACCAATTGGATATTCAGTGCAATACATGCTCGGGTAATCCTAGTGAGAACATTCTCGAATCTGACAAGTACTACTTTTGCGCCCGACAACCCATCCAACATTGTAGCTGAGAACATCTCCTTTGTTGGTCTGGGACAAGCTCTTGAACTCTCAAATGATGTCTCCAAAACATTTCAACATTCCCAAAGTAATTTTGTTCAAGTTGGAGTGTCATCAAATATGGCCAGGAAATGAGTGGTGTCCTATCGTGGGGGTGGTTCTAAGTGAATTCAAGCATTACCATCTAGCTTGAGGGGAAGATCACACAAGCCCTTTTCAATAGATCACACAAAGCGGAAACGTGAGCATCACATAAAAATAGCTATACTGACCCAAGCCTTTTTTGAGTCCCACCAAGACGGACTCTTTTTCATTAGTAACCTATGCATTTTTTGATATGATATCGTCTAGGTATGGTCTTGTGGTTTTATTAGTTCTTGTGCAGGTGTTTTGTAGCTCTCTGCTTGTGAATGACTTGCCACTTAAGCTTCGTTCCCTTGGTAGTGCGGTTGTGTGGTTTTCTAGGATTTGTTTACTTTGCCTTATTTTCTGTCCGAGTATGTTACTTGTTCTAAAACTCTATTGTACTTTGTCTTGTTATTATGAATGAAGTACTTATATTTGCCACAAAAAAAAAAAAAAATGTCCTCAAAGTATTGGAGGCATAGGATGACCATTGACTCCTGGCAAGCATCAACGTCCCCAACTTCACAGTAGGCCGGCCAGGCCCTCAAAAATGGAAGACATAAATGCTAGAAATCAAGAAATCAATAACAAAAACAAAAAAACAAAAAACAAAAGAAAAAAATAAAATGTATAGTCCAAAATCAACAGTCGTATTGTAGGTTCTGTGCTTGAAATGAATCTAGATCACATATACTTTTCTTGGTATGGTCAGTTTCTTGGCCTCGTAACATTCTTGAACTGGAAATGGAAATTCAGTTAAGCCAAATGCAACCTAACAGAAGTAGCCATTCTTTACAAAAATGCTTTCGATGAATATTTTCCACAAGTATATTGCAGCAGAACCCAGAAAACTTCCTCCCTCTTCAACCACATGTTAAAAACATACATGTATGTCCTAACATGTTGTAAAACACATTCTCTTCAGTGATGACAAACAAAAAAAAAATTCTCCTTTCCAATCACAAAGTACCATAGCCTTTCAATTGTTGTCTAGTGCACATTATTTGGCACAGCATTGCTCAGTATCATAGTTTTTAAGGTTTCAATACCTTTGGCTTCAACAAAATCCAGTAAGTTGTATGCTTGTCACTGAAATTTCATTTTACTTTACAGATGTGAAAATAGTACAACATTAGGTCATGCATTCATGAATACATGGTGCAATTGGTAGTGTGGAATTTATAGACTTGACCACGAAACTGGACTCCATTAATGAAATAAAGAAATTCAGAATGGTTAAAGAAGACTTTTAATGGTCTCAAAAACCAAGCATTAGCACTACTACTTAGAAATAGGAGGCTCTCCCAACCACTTTGCACGAAAGCCCGTTCCCTTACAATCAGCACAGCATGTTGATCCCTGGGAGAAACATCACCAGAGTAGAATATGGGGATATGTCAATAATATTTGCATTCATGATGCAAGAAAAAAAGCAGAAGAAAAAAAAGAAGAGAGTTTGATTTAGCTATTTTAACTTGCCTTCCCAGCACAAATAACACAACTGCTGTTTCTGGATGGTACTTGGCAAAGCATGTTGTCACCAAGAATAAAGAAACCTGTACCACCACACCATTTGCATTCAACATGCCCATTTGAGTCACAAGAAGAGCAAGCAATGGGCCTTGGTTGCTGCATGCATCAGGGACGTGCGAGATATTAGAAGGTACAAAAGGAGACCATACAAAGTATAGGATAACCACTACAAAATCATAAAAGCATTTCCAGTGCCATTAAGAAGATCCTGTTAAAGGAAGAGTAATATTTGAAATCCACATCTACCCAAATGGACCCTTGGTACTTTAGGATAATTAATACTTGATGTAAAAAAAAAAAAAAAAGCAGCAAGCATCATGACAAATATTTTTGCATCAGCAACAGAGTTCGGTTGATAGTCGCTTTTTATTTTGATTTTAATTTAATTGTGCTCCATCCAAGAAATAACTCTAGTAATTCAAAAGTCAACTTATCATCTCACTCAAATGACCCTTTTTTTTTGTCTTCCCCTAGTCTATATACTACTTCGAACTAATATCATAGAGAAATCTGTAATAGGTGTGAACATTTCTCCCTACGGCACAAGATCTAATTTCTCTTCCAATTTTCTCTAATCTAGTAGTCAACCAGTGCTACGTCTTTTTTGTAACTATTGAAAAATTAAAAAAAAAAACAGAAACTGGTGTTCACAAATGTAGTTGATTTACTTTCACCAGTGTATGTAGAATGCTTTGCCCTACTGGCGACCGATGCATAAAGACAGTTGTTGACAGGAATATGTGACCACTGACCATCCGTGTCTAACACAACTTCAAGCAGTTACCTTTCTTACTCTAAGCAACGCCATACAGAAGAAGAACAGTTCACCTAGCCACAAAAGTTTTGCCTTCATTATTCAATTCATTAGGTACCCACACAAAAGATTTCTCAAAAAAAAACTATCCTCTCCATAAAACACACAAAATAATCAAAACCTAATGTAGAAAACAACCAACCTTCTTTACAGTCAGCCATTCTTGTTAAAAAAAATTCACCTTTCGACCAAAACAATATTTTATAAAATGTCCTAAACTAAGGCCACAAAGCATCACTAACTTGAAGCTCGTCCCAAAGAAAATTACCAGCCAAGTAGAGGAGCTGATAGTTCAGATCTGAATATACTTTAGACCTCAAGTAATAAAACATTGAACGCATAACAGTAATGTGATTATCGCGATTGATGTCTTGGTTTCCCTATTTTCAAGAGAATGGCATATTAGAGTTCAATAAATGGTTTAATCCATGAAAAACAACCACCACTTGTCACCTGATCACTAACCTACGCACAAAGAAGAAACAGCATACGAACTATGCCCAAACCTACAACTCCATGGATGCCTTGCTATGAAGCATGGGTATTTCGAAAAACATGCCGTACCCGTACCGGGTACTTACCCGCGTATGGTACCTCATATGGTACTTCTACATACGTACTGGGTACACGAAATACGTACCCAAGTTTTTTCTTCTTAATTTTTGGCGTACCCAAACGTACCTAATATATACCCAAGCTGTACCGTACCTCAGTTGAAACAATATTTTCTTCTACTACATAGATAAAACTCCTTTCACTAGACTTCTTTTTTATTTTTTGTTTTATGTTTAACATGATTTTAAAATTAAACTATGGTTTGTTATGTTTAACATTATTTTAAAATTAAACTATGGTTTGTAAGTTACTTAATATATTAACATTTAATTTTGATTTATGCCTTTACTTTTGGCATTAAATGTTAATTAAAGGTTAGACCTTAACAAATTAAACCATTTAATTAATTTTTGAATTTCTCTAAATTAAAAATAAATATTTTTTTTACAAGCGTACCAAGCCATACCCGTGTCCTATTTTTTTTTAATTTTATCATATCGACGTACTTGTATCGTACCAGTACTAGTACTTGTACCCTTACCCATGCTTCATAGATGCCTTGGAAGCTCTCATCACTGTAGGTGTAAACTAGTCTTGTCCAATTGTGAATCAAATTAATTGGTTCTAAACCATCTCGACTTAACCTGGGTAGAAAAACATGGGACTTGTGGACATCACATTCAGAGATGATGGGTTAAGTAATTTGGCCCAACTAGAGAATCCACCATTCACAAAATAATTCATACACACCCACACACAATATATATAATAACCACACAAACTTCATGTGAGTTTTGATCTATTATTATAGGCCTTTGATGGACTTGTTAAGATTGATCAAGTGAAAAGCAGACCCTCCACCAAAGAGATATGAGATTAAGAAGTTGGATGCAAATTATCGATCTCATTTAGACAAATCTATCCTTCAACCACTATCGATAGATTGAGAATTAGCCTGCAACATCATATCTGGAATTGGAATGTAGGTACAAACTTTCCGTTAGATAAAGGGTCTAGGAATGGATGAATACCCACTGTGAGAATATTACATTTCATGTATATATGGTAGTTTATATATATTAGGATTTTTTGTTTCCTTTTTAGTTCTAGGGTTAGATTGATATATAAACCAATGTATTCTTGTATTATATACACAATTGAATATACAGAAAAGCTTTCAGAAATCTTACATGGTATCAGAGCCACGTCCGAAACTCTAGGTCCGGCCTTGATCATTCGAAGCTTGGAGTCTTCTCTAGGCTTCTCCGAAGTCGCGAATCTATTCTCTGGTCTTCTTCTAAGTCGCGACAGTCCTCTGTGCTTGGTCTGAAGTCGCGATTCAGGGCTCTCTCGTCTCTCTCTCTCTCTCTCTCTCTCTCTCTCTCTCTCTGGTTCAGCTAATTGACCACACATCGTGGGTCATCTGGGCTGTTCGATCAATAGTCCTCTGTTTTTGGTTCGATACATCATCACATATCTCCCCCGAAAGTCTCTAGTCCATCTCTCTAGGTGTCCGTACAGTTCTCTTTCTCTCTGGTTTAGAATTGCGACACCCATACCCATCGTGGTTCGTGATCCATCTAAACCGAAATCCATCTGGTCTGGGTGTTATTATATTTGAAGCTCTCAGGTTTTGGTTTATTACATTGTTGCCCCATCAGATTTCAATTTATTACGGTTCTCTATTTTTGTTTGGTTCATTATGACGATGACGGTTTCAACTTCTGTAAAGCCCAAGAAGGGGTTCATTGCCTCAGATGAATGTGTTTTCTGCCATCAGAGGGGCTATTGGAAGTACCGCTGTCCCAAGTAGAGACGTCTGCCTGCCTCATCTTTTCAGCAGTCTCAGAATCAATTTTGGACTTCTCCCTCTGCATATTCTGCATCTGCTCCGGCTCCTGATCCTGACTTGGCTTCCTTGACTGCTCAGATTAGTCAGCTTCAGTATATATTGTCTACCTCTCCACCATCCTCATTTGTCTCTATTGTTTCCTCTCTTCATTCAGGTTTGCTTGGGTCTTCATCAGGTATTTCTTTGTCCGTCTGGATTTTTGACTCTGGTGCCTCTCATCATATGACTCCTCACCTCTCCTTACTTCAAAATTGTACTCCTCCCTTTCCTATTACTATTAATGCTGCTAATAGGTCTGGTATGTCTATTGTATCTGTTGGGTCTGTCCTACCATTTTCTATGTCTGTTGTCTCTATTCCATCTGTCCTTTATGTTGCCCAGTTATCTGTCAGTTTATTATCTATCAATCGGCTTGATACTTCTGGTTTTGATGTTATCTTTTCCTTTCTATCTGTTCTGTGCAAGATCAGATGTTTAAGCAGCAGATTAGGACCGGCCGTAGAGTTGGAGTCCTCTATATGGTGGAGAGCTTGCATCTGCCCATGTCAACCTCTCTAACTGCCTTTTCTTCTTTTCAGTTAGATTCTCTGTCTAGTCCTTTCTACTTGTGGCATTCTAGATTAGGGCATTTATCTACTGATCGCTTACGGTTTTTAGCTTAGCCTGGTATATTAGGTAAAGTTTCTCCTAGTGAACTTACTGAATGTCAGAGGTGTAAACTTGCCAAAATGACAACCTTACCGTTTCATAAAAATACTTCTATATCTGATACACCATTTTCTTTAGTTCATACTGATGTTTAGAGTCCTTCTCCTGTTCTCACCAAAGGGGGTTCTGCATACTATGTGTCATTTGTTGATGACTACATCTGTTACACCTGGGTTTATCTTATGACTTATAAATCCGATTTCTATCAGATATACCGTACCTTTCAGTCTATGATTACTACTCAGTTTGGGTCTACAATTAAAATGTTACGGTCTGACTTGGGTGGGAATATTTTAAAAATGAGTTTGGTGAGTATTTGGCCAATTTGGGTACCATTCACCAAACTTCCTGTACAGATACACCTGTCCAAAATAGTCGAGCCGAGCGTAAACACCGTCATCTCCTTGAGACAGCTAGGTCTCTTCTTCTCTCTACCTGAGTTCCGACTCCATTCTGGGAGGAGGCAGTTCTTACTGCTATTTTTCTTCTCAACTGCATGCCTACTCCCCTTCTGTCTGGTCGGTCTCCTTATGAGGCTTTGTTCTCCCAAATTCCTAACTACTCCCTTCTTCGTGTGTTTGAGTCTGCCTGTTTTGTCCTTCTTCCCCGCAAAGATAGGACCAAACTTAGTGTCCGGTCTATCCTCTGTGTCTTTTTGGATTATAGTCCTATTCAGAAAGGCTAACGGTGTTACGAACCTATTTTCCGCCGTCTTTACGTCTCCCATCATGTTTCTTTTCTTTCACGTCTACCTTACTTTCAGCTTCCTCTTCTCACCGCCCTAGTTTCCAAAGAGGATTTGGTTCATATTGATCTGTTTCCTTCTAAGGTCCCGTCTGATGAGTACATCTCCACAATTCCTCTTGAGCTTGTTTCATCTTCTCATTCTGCTTCACCTTTGGCGGTTTCTCCTCCTTCGGTTTCTTCCCATCCTCTGTTGTTAGTTTATTCTCGTCGCAAGGCTCCTCCACCGGTTGTCTCCACCCCTACTGCTGATCCTCTTACTTCTTATGACTATGATCCTGCTACACACCGATATCCTACTCGAGCGCGTCATCCTCCAAAACAGGTTGGGTTGATCTAATACATGTTTTTCTGCTTCCTATCATACTTTTTTATCTGCTATTCACTCTTTTTCAGAACCTCAGTCTTACAAGGAGGCCTATTAGGATTCTCATTGGGTTCAAGCTATGGTGGATGAGTTGTCTGCTTTACAAAAAAATTAGTACTTGGGAGTTGGTTTCTTTACCTGCTGGCAAGAATTTAGTTGGTTGCAAATGGGTCTACAAAGTCAAGACTCATTCTGATAGTTCTCTTGAGCGTTACAAAGCTCGTCTGGTTGCCAAAGGTATGAGGAGACCTTTACTCCTATTGCCAAGATGACTACTGTTCGTACTTTAATCTCTATCGTTGTTGTTCGTTCTTGGCCTCTTTATCAGATGGATGTTAAAAATACTTTTCTTAATGGCCATCTTACTGAGGAGGTTTACATGCGTCCTTCCCCCGGCCTTCACCATTCCTCTGGACAGGTTTGTCGCCTTTGGCGTGCTCTATACGGTCTGAAACAGTCTCCTCGTACTTGGTATGATCGTTTTCAGACTGCTGTTACTGAACTTGGGTTTCATCCTTGTGCCCAGGACTCTGCTTTATTTCTTCTCCACACCTCTGTTGGATTTGTTGCGTTATTACTGGATGTGGATGATATGATCATCACTGGTTCTGACTCTTCTGCTATCTCTGAGGTCAAGTAGCATCTTTTCTGCACCTTTGAAATGAAGGATCTGGACCTATTGCGGTATTTTCTTAGTATTGAGATAGCTTCTTCTCCTAAGGGCTACTTTTTCTCTCAGGCCAAGTATGCCAATGAGGTTATTCATCGTGCCGGTCTTACTGACACTAAGATTTATGATACTCCCACTGAGCTTAATGTAAAGCTCAACACTACTGATGGTGTACTTTTGGATGATCCTACTCTATATCGAGAACTTGTGGGTTGCTTAGTCTATCTGACGGTTACTCGTCCTGATCTTGCCTATGTTGTTCATGTGGTTAGCTAGTTTGTTTCTGCTCCTCGCTCCACACATTGGGCTACCTTTGTTCGAATTCTTCGCTATCTCCGAGGTACTATATTTCAGGGTCTACTATTGTCCTCTACTTCCTCTCTGGATTTGGTAGCCTATGCTGACTCTGATTAGGCTGGTGATGTTACTGATCGCAAATCCACGTCTGGTTTTTGTATGTTTCTTGGCAATTCTTTGATCTCTTGAAAAAGCAAGAAACAAACTATTGTTGCTCGCTCTACTGCCGAAGCTGAGTACCGTGCTATAGCTCATGCTATTGCTAAGATTGTTTGGCTCTGTTGTCTCTTATCTGATTTAAGTGTCCCTCAGTCTTCTCCGACCTCCCTCTACTGTGACAACCATAGTGCTATTTAGATTGCCTATAACACTGTTTTCCATGAGCGGACAAAGTACATTGAGATTGATTGTCACTTTGTCCGTCACTATCTGCAGTCTGGCTCTATCTCGCTTCCTTTCGTCTCTTCAGCTTTGCAACTTGCTGACTTCTTTACCAAGACTCACACCACTGTTCGGTTTCAGTTTCTTCTTGACAAACTCTCAGTATTTTCTGCTAAAACGCCTTGAGTTTGAGCAGGGGTGTGAGAATATTACGTTTCATGTATATATGGTAGTTTATATATATTAGGATTTTTTTGTTTCCTTCTCAGCTCTAGGGTTAGATTGATATATAAACTAATGTATTCTTGTATTATATACACAATTGAATATACACAAAAGTTTTCAAAAATCTTACACCCACATGAGCTTGTGTTTTTCTTACTCATTTCCCTTTCCTCTTTTCTTCTTCTTCTTCTTCTTCTTCTTCTTCCTTTTTTTTTTTTCTTTTTTTTTTTCTTTTTTTTTGATAAATACGAATCTTCTACTTCTGTTTAATCACAAATTGATGTATTAGGTATTCATTATATTTGGAGAGATAAGAGTCCCAATCATTCCAAAGGGAAAATTCATCTGAATCAACCAGATTTTATTCTAGGTTGATTTGCTTCAATTTTATCCACTGTTCAATTCAACTGAGGCCCAAAATTTCAGAGCACAGTTACATCGTTGAATTCTGAATTTATACATTTTGTGGCAAGTAAAAAAAAAACGTTAACTAGTAGCATTAACCCAAACAACAGAAACCAAAGAACTTTCAATATGTTAATACTAACCTAAACAAGACGAACCAAACTGCGGCCCTACTCAAGACCTTGTACAACATTACATGGAGACGGAAATGGGAATGGGTCTCAATTACGGTTGTGTCCAAGTGTCTAATTCTCCAAATCTTCAAAATTTAGGATACAAGACACTGCTAAAAATGTCTAGGTGTTTTAAATGGGTAAGCGTATTATTAAAAGAAAGGTTTGAGAGGAAGGGTGAAGTCGTAAACTTTTTGATAGGTTGTGAAATTGGAGAAAATAAGTTAGATATCTAGATTATTATTGAAACTCTATCAAATTACAAGACAAAAGTTCAAATTTTGACAAACAAAAACATTAAAGCATAAAATTTTATTTGCAAAATAGCCAAACTAGACAAAACCTTGGTGTTTATCTTCTTCAACAACCTTTACTACCTCCGGTATGTATAAGCAGTTCTACGAAAACAAATTTGGGCTCCACGGCTTAAGATCTGTTAAAGGCTCGTATTTTTGCTTCCTTCTGTTCTTCTTCTTTTTCATTCCACTGGTTCTAAATGTTGTCCTTCTGGGTATACATTTTAAGATTCACAATCAGAATATGTAGTTTATGATGGTAGATATGTAACACTCCATAAAAGTCAACCAATCATCAATAAGCATTTTCAGTTCCCACAACAAACTTACAATGAAGCCATCTACACTTGGTGCCTTATTTTTTGTGGAAACTTGTCATAGTATCATAAACCCAACTTTTTTTTATACATGTATAAGCTATTATACCCGTTCATCAGTGTCCGTCATCTACTTGAGGCTTGATTATTCATAGTCATCAAAATATTACAAGATTAGTAGATGCATTTGTTAGATTCTAAGAGACTAGTATAAACCATTGCTCTCCTCATGAAAGAAATTGGTTTTCCATCATCTTCTAGAAACATTTTGCAACTTACCGTGTCCTTTATTTTCTTCTTTTTCTTTCTCACTGGATTTATTTCTTGATGTTCAAACTCTTCCCACAACTTTTGTCATCCAAAGAAGCTTCTCTTCAAGTTTTCTTGTAGGTCTGTGTTGAGTTAAAGGGAGCATTTCTATCTATCACATCTAAATTTAGCTTTATTCCAAGATTTGAATTATCCCTTCAAGTTTCGAAACTTACCTTGGCATAGGTGCCCCCAAAATTATTGTTGCTACCATCAACGCTCCTAACCTTGAAAGAATGCTTGGAATTTGGTAGGGCAAATGATGGAGAACATGGAGGCACCTACCAATAGTTCAAGTTTGACTATAAGTGTGTTCTCTTCAGGTGTTATTTTTTAGTTACACTTATTAATTTGTGTGTTTTTTTTTTTTTGCTGGCATAAATGAAATTCAAGAATCATGAGATACCTCCTGGTATATTTTACCCTTTTTGTTACCCTACTGGTTCTTTTGGGGTAGTGTACATTTTGATAAGCATTGGACACAAACCTCTCTATCGGAAATTTGTAGTAAGGGCATTTTGGTCATTCCGCACTTGTGACCTGCACCCCTAATTATATCCATATGTAGTTGAGAGGGGCGGCTATTTTTATATCTTGCTTGTAACTCTTTCTGATCATAATGAAATCACAGCAATCGTAAATGTAACCCTTATTTTGGGGTGGTGAATCACGTAAATTTGTGTTCTTGTGTGGGGCATACAATTCTTGCATGTTTGTTCTTCCATGTTTTTCATGTCTTACTAATTTTGGTTAGGTGTTACAACTTGCTCAACAGGTTCTACATCAAGTAGGTGACAAGCAAGCATGTGCTAACTATGGAGCTTAACTTAGTCTAAAAATAGGAAACCAATATTACAAAATTACTTTGCACAACTATTAAAGTCAAGAACGGTTTCGCTGGTGCCCATAATTAAGTTTAAAGCTAATAAAGTAACAAAAAGATTTTGTCAAGTGTTTCCCAATCGTGTCCTACTTAAAATCAAATGAACTCTTCAAATATATATATATATATATATATATTTTAACTTTCTCTTTTTTTGTATCTACTATGTTCAATATCATTGGGCCTATAATGTTCTCAGTTATTAAAAAAATTTAGTTTCTTATTTAAAGTCACAATGTTAGTCAGCATAGGATATGTGGTGGCTCAATGCTTCCCTTTTATACTCTCTCTCTCTCTCTCTCTCCCTCTCTCCTTAGCGGCATCATTGAAAGCAAGTATCACAAACATTGATATAATTTCTCTCCAAGTATTGGTGACTCATGTTTGCATTTTAATTTCTTTTTTTTAGTTAGTCTTCCTCCAATCCCCCCCCCCCCCAAAATCACAAAGGGCGGGTGGTGATTGGAGGAGAAAGAAAAAAAAAGAAAAGAAAAATTATGACAACCTTCATTTTGTTTGATTCAAAATATACTTGCTTCTTCTTTTCTTATTTCATTCTTTTTATCTACATTAGAAGATTTTATGCCAATTTATTAGTTTATTTTCAAAATGAATTTCTTGTTTGTATAGCCAACTTTATAAGGATTTATGGTTTTTTTTTTTTCTTTTATTTATTTGGTTTTAATAATTAGGCTTTAAATGGTGCATGAAAGTAAACATGTTGAGCTCATTGTCATAACTTAAAAGTCTTGCTACGGTTTCTCTGTAATTTTACCTAAAAGTTCTTTAATTAAGATAGCTTGGATTTACTAGTATGGTTTATGCATATTTTGCTTTTTCTAGAACATGGTACAATTCTTTATTGTGTTAAGCAATTATATTTCATTGAAAAAGCCAAATCAACCCTGGCAATAACAACAACCTTTTCTTATAGATTGGATTGTCAATCAAAGATCCAAAACTTGACAGACAAGAATTTGGACTAAAAAATGATTCATCACATTATCAAATTAGGAGCTCCCTTATCCAAAACAAGGTACAATCCTTCAATGCTTTAAGCAATTATATTCATCTTGAAAAAGCCAAGTCAGACTAACAATAGCAGTAACCTTTTAAAATTATTATGCTAAAAAGGTTTAAGCTTATATATCGTGGCCTCCAAGCAATGGTGATAAGTGAGAAATAGTCATCCTACAAAGAAGATGATGTTGGAAAAGCAGCTCTTGTTAAGGAAAAAGTGTTGAATGATATTTGGTGAGACAAGATAGAATACATAATCTCATTTACTTTGCCAATATATGAGATGCTTAGATCTTGTGACAACGATAAGCCATGTTTACATTTGGTCTATGAAATGTGGGATTCAATGATTAAGAGGGTGAAGGCATCCATTTATAGGCGTGAAGGAAAGTTCGAAAATGAAGAGTTGGCTTTCTATTCTGTGGTGCACCAAATACTAGTGGAAAGATGGACAAAAAGTAGTACACCACTTCATTGTCTCGCACATTCTTTGAATCCGAGATATAATTCATTTTTAAACTCTCTTCTTTTTTTTTTTTAAATGAAAAAATGATAGAATTTAGTTAACATAATTTAAACTCTTAATATAATAACTTACCATAATTTACTTTTTATTTATTATTTTCCCTAATTTTGCAATCTAGGTATTATAGTGGAATGTGACTTCATGAAAATCCCATTCGTGTTCCTCCTCACAAGGATGAAGAAATTTCTGATATGAGAACCAAGTGCTTTAAGAAATACTTTCCAAATGCAAAAGAGAGAAGGGCTGTGAATACAGAGTATGCCAAATTTTCAGGTTTTTTGGAGAGTTTTGGAGACACCGACTCAATATGTGATAGAGGAGAAATGGAACCAATGGTTTGTGATTCACACATGGCTCTTCTGCACCTATGCTCCAATCATTAGCAATGAAAGGAATTGGAGCACATACTCTTTCATTCACTCCATGCGAAGGAATAAAATGACTCCACAACGATGTAAGGATTTGGTTTTTATGCATTCTAATATTCGCCTTCTATCAAGGAGTCGTCAACAATACACAGAAGGAGAGAGCAAGTTATGAGACATTGGACGAGATGCTTTTGATTCATTGGAGGGCTTTGGTTTATTAGAAATTGCAAATCTTTCACTTGATGAGCCGGAGATGGAAGCCATATTATTTAATGATGAAGTTGATGGAATTGAAAGTTGATGTTCTAAGTTTCATAGTTTCATTAGGGTTATCTTTTATTTTGGTTTAGTTTGTTTTTAGCACGAAATTCTCTTTTCTAATTTCTTCTATGTAACAACATTAAAATAGCTCGTCGATTTACTTTGGTATTGTTGGAAAATGATTTACCTTTTTTTTTTTTTTCTTTTTTTTTTCTTTTTTTTTTTTTGTAATTTCTCTTTTTAATTATGTTATTGAACTTTAATTTGTATGTTGGATCTTTAGCTATAAATTTAAAATAAAAAAATAAAAAATTGACGTACCTCAGCCGTACCCGTACCCGTACCCTACTTTTTTTAAATTTGCCGTATCGGCGTACCCGTATCGTACCAGTACCTATACCCGTATTCGTACCCGCACCCGTGCTTCATAGCTTACTTTGGTTTTAGCTATGTTTTTGTTCACTTTCCCACATTTCATCTTGGTAATTTTTTTTATTCTCTGGATGGGTTTGGGGATGGCCTGAGCCACATAAAGCACTTGAAAACTCTAAATGCTTTAGGGAGGCAATTCGTTTTGTAGAAGACAAAATACAAGAGATTAGAAAATGGGAGAATGATTTGATACAGTTGTACTGAGTAATATCCATACACTAACTAAACATTTGATACACTAATTTAGTCATCCATGAGATTCTTTTTTATGATAACAATCACTTAAATATTGTTTTGAAGTCCTTATGAGTAAAAGGGCAATTTCCCATGTCTCATTCAAACTTAGATGGCATCTTCATTTTGTTTCTATGTAAAACATTTGATTTTATTTATGAAGTGATGATTGGTCTTTATATCAAAGTAAAAACTGATTTTTGCTTGCGGGATTATTGTTCAGATTCATTTTTTCCTTCCAAATTAGTTTTAGTGTTTGTTGTGACCAATACAAACTATGCATTTCATATCATCTCTGTTGTTTTTTTTGTTTTTCCTCAATTAATTTGTCATGTGTTGCTTCATGCATTGTTAGGAATATAAAATTGTGGTCTCATCGTGTCTTTCAAAGATTAAAAGTAGTGTGTTTTGGACTTATATAGTAATGATGACACAAATTTTTTATTTTTTCGTGAATTTTGCGATGAATAGTTTGTGTTTTTTTAAGGCTTTTTAATTTTATTTTTTATTATTTGATCTATTTACAAAGCTTAGATAATTGGAAAAATTGCAAGTTCATCAATGCGTGTTCTATGTTTGCTTCACTGTGGTAATTTATTATCTAGATCAAAGTGTTTGGAGAGGTTGGCCTAATTCATATTTTTGCTGCTGTTGAAATTTGCTCCCCGGTTCAACTAGAAAAACTTCTATACAAGAGTTATCATTTTATTGTTAGGTTCACTATGTAAAACCTATGTAAACTTCTCTCTTACATGCATGTTTAGAATTTTCGCTCAATGTTATTTTTCATGTGTTTCAGCCAATGATGGGTCAGAATTATCCTTACCACTGGTATATTCAGAGTTATCAAAGAAGTAAATGAATTTTGTGCTAAAAGAAGGGGATCAATTACAAAACAAATTGAATGAAGATTATTTGTTGCTATGACAATGCCATTGCAAAAAATTGTGAAACATGCAATTATCACTCTTAAACATGGGTTTGCTGAGTTTTTTTGGTATTGTTCAAATTGAAACCGTAAAATCATCTGATTCAATAATATTATATTAAGCTATTCATGCATTTGTTATTGTTCTTCTAATTATTTTTATTACTTCAATGAGTTCATTTTGTTGTCAAATTAGAGTGGCTTTTAAAGAATCATTTTGTTAATTTCTCATATGTATTTTGATGCAATTCCTCATAGCTATTGGTTTTTTAAAGTGAATTTAAGCTAGTGATTTTGTTGCAAGTGGTTGATCCGTATTAGAAACGTTGGGTTATGTTGCTTCTCTTTATGTGTGTAGTTGGTTGGCTCTCATTCTAAACTGGATGATTAATTATGATTTTTTTTAGTTAGATAGGATGATTACTCTTTTGTACCAAAATATTCATTCACCTTTCCTTGAAGGTATTGAAATTTGATAAAGTGAAAAAATTACTAGTTATGATACTAATTCAGTAATATCCTTTTATTGAAGATTTGCTATACATGTGTCATTTGACGTGGATTAAATTCTAAAATTTGCTATTTGGACTTAAATTTTAGCAAATATTTTTAAATTTTATTCTTTGCTTGTGCTAAACTGAAATATAAAATTCATTATTTGGACTTTAATTTTGAAGTTTGTTATTTGAAATTTATGAATGTTTTTGCCAGTTTACTGTGTAAAAACAATTTCAACTTCTTATTTGTGAAGTTTTAAACTCGAGTGATATTATCATTTTGAATTGATTTATTACAATTGAATTTCTTAGCACATGTGGTACCAAAAAAATTGTTGATCGTGCCTTCAAACACGGGTTATCCCTAGTCTTTCTACAATCTAAAATCTTTCTAACAACACTTCAAGTTTTCTAAATTTATGACGCATCAATGGGTCATATACATATTTTTCTTTGTTTCTGGGTTTGGGTTGGCAATTCCTTACACATCTGAAGTTATTGTAATAGTAGCAAATGCTGCTCATTCCACATAATGTAATAGGGATGAACCAATTTCCAATCAAAAGAACAGGAGAACAATATATCAAACATAAAAAATAGAACAAGAGATCAAGCTCTTACACAATTCCTGGTAATATTAAACTACCCACAAACAGGTTTATTAATGCAGTACCGCTACATCCACCGAATTTTCCTGCCTGAATGAATATCTTACAATTCGGGCGGAGGGAAATTCAGTGAATCAAACATTATTGTTATTAACAAGTCACAATCACAAATCATCATCACTTAAAATCAACCATAAGAAACCCTTATTTGACCAATCAATTTTCTTTTAACAACTTTCAACTAATCAATGAAGCGATTAAAACTGATTTCATAAACCGTTTAATAAATACGACTGTTTAATCAAATCACCAATTACTTAGGCTTTTTAGTTTCTTTATTTTTCTTTAGATTTTTCAACAAGTAAACAGAGTTGAAAACCCTAGAGGAGGCAATCATATTATACCTGAGAGATTATCCAAGCTTTTTCCATACGCTTAACGAAGTTTGAGGAGCTCTCGTAAGAGTCCACCATTGAAGCTCGAATTCGAACACCACAAACCCTAGAATTCAAGACACGACCGTCGCGTATAGATTGGCCACCAATTGAGAGTCTTCTTGGCAATACGAAGCTGTTGTTGTTGTTGTTGTTGTTGTTGTTGTCGTCTATCGATTTTATCGAAATCATCGGTCTGCAACAAATACAATTCGACATTTTCAACTCAAATTGGTTAACGATCCCAATTTTTAGAGAGAGAGAGAGAGAGAGTTTGGCGGGGAATGAAACGGAGGTTGGAAGAGCCGTTGGTTTATCTTCCGTCTGGTTTTGTGAAGAAGATGACTCTGAACCGGCCACCTTTCTTTGCATCCATCACGATGATCCAAATCAATGCACCATCCATCAATTAGTTCCAAATAAATAAATAAATCATAAATATATATTGAAATTTGTTTAAAAAACGATTTGAATCATTTGAGAAATTATAAATACTATTTATTAGAATTTTTTATTTAATAAAATTAAAAAAAAAAAAATTAACTATTTTTCTATATAATAAAAAAATTATATAAATTATTAATTGAAATAAATTTATGGTATCATTAAAATTATTAATTAACTTAACGATTTATTAATAAAATAAGTTATTTATTATAAAATTAAAAAATTCAACAAATAAAATGTAATTTTTAAAATTATAGGGATAGTTTGCATATAAAAGAAAATGGGCTATTCATTAGTCACTTATTTTCTTAAATATTATTTTGGTTAATAAATATATCATTTCTCTTTTTTAAAAGGAGATGACATATCAGTGTATGAGTAAAAAAATATTTTCAAATCAGCAATGTTAAATATCATGAAAAAAATTTTATGAAAATAATTATAAAAGATTTGTGACTTTTAAATTACACTTAGAATAAAATATCACACACTAAATAAAATAATCTAAAAATCATAAATCTTTTATGATCATTTTTATGAAAAAAATTTCACCATCCCTAACTTTTCTCATTTCAAATTAGTGACATTTATGTTCCGTCATTTTTGTTCGGTAATGTACAGCAAGCAATTCAAACAAAAATTATAGAACTTCGAGCATTGGAGGAGACGCCATTTTACTCACAAAGCCAATTTTTGAACGATTACATGGGCTACGTCATGAGGTTGATGACATGCTTATCAGAATCTCGATCCGGATCTTACGATCCTACGATTTTACGATCTATTTGAGTACAATCGATTCGGATCGTATAAAAAACTCTTTATAGGTAGGATCTTTCGATCTTGGTAGTGGGATCTTATAGGATCGTGAAATCCCGATCCGAATCCGATCCTATCCGATCCAATTTACAAGCCTTGTTTTGTATTGTATGACATATTTTATTGTAAATTTTATATTTGTTGTCTAAATACCAATTTATGTGGTCAAAATAAATAATAAAAATTAAGTAGTATTGAATCAAATAGACTAAGAACAACAAACTAGGAAACAAACATTCAAATATTGCAGTAATTTTAGAAAATTAAATAGTCAGAAAAACAAACTTAGCTTTAGCGGAGTCTAAGGAGGGTAAGATGATTGAAACTTTATCCCAATTTTTGGAGAAATTATTTTTGTGGCTCGAATCCGCTCCACCAGGGATGCTAACGACAAACCTTATCATTCAACTAAGCTACTCTTTTGAGTTCTTAATCTATTTTCATATCCAACTTTGTTAAATATTTTTTCTTCACTTTTTATGCATTATTGTAGATTGTAAAGTATTTTGTTATAGAATTCTTCTTCACCTTCTTTTTTGATGAAATACAAAACTTTTACCGTTGAATTTTCTATTGCATAATATTATATGTACATTTTATATAGAGTATCATATTTTTCACAATATCTTCACTTCTTTTTAATAGAATATAGGCTCATTTTGTGTATACTTTATAAGAAATATTTATTTAAATTAAATTATTATATAATTTGTCTTTTTCGGTAGGATCTTACGATCCTCGATCCGATTCTACGATCCGATCCTATAAACACCTCCAACAATCCAACGTAGGATCCCGATTTTAACAACGTTGGTTGATGAGCTTCTTGAGAAGGATAAAATTTTTGGGTTTTAGTGAGCACAGGCAAACTAGATTCAAGATGGAGATCAGAACACTCCTTTCATGTGAAAGCTACCCAACGACATCAAAAGAAAAGGATTGAAGGTATGAATTGTAAGTTTCTGAAGAATTTCTATATATTAAATTGTGTGATTTGTTTACAAAGAGTGCATCAATTATATAGTCCTAATCCATGACAGAAAAAGGAAATACAAAGAAAAAGAAATTGCCTAATTCCTAATATACAATATATACAATATATTTTCTCACACCCCCGCTCAAACTCAATGTGTTTTAGCAGAAAACATTGAGAGTTTGCTAAGAAGAAATTGAAACCGAGCGGTACGGTCAGTCTTGGTGAAGAAGTCCGCAAGTTGCAAAGTCGAGGAGACAAAAGGAAGTGAGATAGAGCCAGACTGCAGATGTTGTCGGATAAAGTGACAATCAATCTCAATGTGTGTCATCCGTTCATGGAAGACAGTATTGTGGGCAATCTAAATAGCACTGCGGTTGTCACAATAGAGGGAGGTCGGAAAAGACTGAGGTACACCCAAATCAGAGAGAAGACAACGAAGCGAACATAAGCTCAGCAGTAGCATAAGCCATAGCACGGTACTCAGCTTCAGCAGTAGAGCGAGCAACAACAGTTTGTTTCTTGCTTTTCCAAGAGATCAAGGAATCACCAAGAAACATACAGAAACCAGAGATGGACTTGCGATCAGTTACATCACCAGCCCAATCAGAATCAGCATAGGTCACCAAGTCTAAAGAGGAAGTAGATGACAACAGCAAGCCCTGAAAGATGGTGCCCCGGAGATAGCGAAGAATACGAACCAAAGCAGCCCAATGAGTAGAGCGAGGAGCAGAAACGAACTGACTAACCACATGAACAACATAAGCAAGATCAGGGCGAGTGACAGTCTAATAAACTAAACAACCCACCAGCTCACGATAGACCATGGGATCATCTAGAGGGACACCATTAGCAGAGTTGAGCTTCACATTAAGCTCAATAGGTGTACCAAAAACCTTAGTATCAGTAAGACCGGTACGGTGAATAACCTCATTAGCATATTTGGCCTGAGACAAAAAATAGCCTTTTGGAGAAGAGGCAACCTCAATACCAAGAAAATACTGTAATGGACCCAGATCCTTCATTTCGAAGGTGCGGAAGAGATGTTCCTTGACCTCGGAGATAAAAGAATAGTCAGAACCAGTGATGATCATATCATCCACATAAAGTAGGAGAGCAACAAAACCAGCCGAGGTATATCTGAGAAACAAAGTAGAGTCAGAAGCAGAAGGATAAAACCCAAGCTCGGTAACGGCAGTCTGAAAGCGATCATACCAAGCACGAAGAGACTACTTCAAACCATACAGAGCACGCCGAAGACGACAAACCTTCCCAGAAGAGTGAAGAAGACTAGGGGGAGGACGCATGTATACCTCTTCAGTGAGATATTTGTTAAGAAAAGCATTTTTAACATCCATCTGATAGAGAGGCCAATGTCGAATAGCAACAACAGAAATCAAGGTAAGGACAGTAGTCATCTTGGCAACAGGGACAAAGGTCTCCTCATAATCAATACCATACTCCTGTAAGAAACCCTTGGCAACCAAGCGAGCTTTGTAGCGCTCGAGAGAACCATCAGAATGAATCTTGACTTTATAGATCCATTTGCAACCAACTAGATTCTTGCCAGCAGGCAAAGAAACTAACTCCCAAGTGTTAGTCTTCTGTAAGGCAAACAACTCATTCTCCATAGCTTGAACCCAATTAGGATCCTGACAGGCCTCATTGTAAGATTGAGGTTTTGAAAAAGAGTGAATAACAAACAAAAAAGTACGATAGGAAGCAGAAAAACATGTATTAGACCAACCCAACCTGTTTGGAGGACAACGCTCACGAAGAGGATAGTGGTATGTAGCAGGATCAGAGTCGTCAGAAGCAGAAGGAGCAGCAACAGGAGTAGAGACAACTGGTGGTGGGGGAGCCTTGCAACGAGAATAGACCAACAACGGAGGGAAAGAAGCAGCCGAAAGAGAAGAAGGAGCCATAGGTGACATAGACGGAGAACTAGGAATGACCTCAGGAGAAACAGTGGCGATGTACTCATCAGACAGGACCTCAGAAAGAAATGGGTCAATGTGAACCAAATCTTCTTTGGAAACGAGAGCAGTGAGAGAAAGAAGCTGAAAGTAAGACAGACGTTCGAGAAAGGCAACATGACGGGAGACATAAAGGCGACGAGAGACAGGGTCAAAACAACGGTAGCCTTTCTGAGTAGGACTATAACCTAAAAAGACACAGAGGACAGACCGGGCACTAAGTTTGGTCCTATCTTTGCGGGGAAGAAGGACAAAACAGGCAAACCCAAACACACGAAGGAGGGAGTAGTTAGGAATTTAGAAGAACAAAGCCTCATAAAGAGACCGACCAAAAAAAATGGAAGTAGGCATGCGGTTGGGAAGAAAAGCAGCAGTAAGAACTGCCTTCCCCCAGAATGGAGCTGGAACTGAGGCAGAGAGAAGAAGAGACCTAGCTGTCTCAAGGAGATGACGGTGTTTACGCTCGGCTCGACCATTTTGGGCAGGTGTATCTATATAGGAAATTTGGTGGATGGTACCCAAAGTGGCCAAATACTCACAGAACTCATTTTAAAAATATTCCCCACCCAAGTCAGACCGTAAGACTTTAATTGTAGACCCAAATTGAGTAGTGATCATGGACTGAAAGGTACGGTAGATCTGATAGAAATCGGACTTATGAGTCATCAGATAAACCCAAGTGTAACAGGTGCAGTCATCTACAAATAGCACATAATATGCAGAATCCCCTTTGGTGAGAACAGGAGAAGGGCCCCAAACATCAGTATGAACTAAAGAAAACGGTGTATCAGATATAGTAGTACTTTTACGAAAAGGTAAGGCCGTCATTTTGAAAAGTTTACACCCCCGACATTCAGTAAGTTCACTAGGAGAAACTTTACCTAAGATACCTGACTGAGCTAAAGACCGTAAGCGGTCAGCAGATAAATGCCCTAATCTAGAATGCCACAAGTAGAAAGGATTGGACAGAGAATATAACTGAAAAGAGAAAAAAGCAGTTGGAGAAGTTATCATAAGTAGATGCAAGCTCTCCACCACATAGAGGTCTCCAACTCTGCGGTGAATCTCAATCTGCTGGAGAGCATGCATCTACCTATGATAACTTCTCCAACTCTACGGTGAATCCCAATCTGCTGCTTGGATATCCGATCCTGCACAGAACAGATAGAAGAAGAAAAGATAACATCAAAACCAGAGGCA